GCCTAGAAGAAAATGGGTCTCGGGGATCAATAACCTCAAAGCCTCAAGGCAAATCTCCTCTTTCTAAAATTGTTGTTCACACAGTTCCATTTATAGTTTTAAGGATGTTAGTCTTTCCAAAACAGAGGCATTTTAATTTGACAAGGCCACTCTTTCAAATCCATTGTAACAACATTTCCTTCTGAGAAAACTGTACAAAGCAACTCTGTAAGCCACGTTCAAAATCTTTCTAATACACACAAGCATGAAATGAGTCTCCAAACAAAAAAAAAGTACACAGTAGTCAAATATATGTAGTCCCAACATAAGGTAAGAACAACTGATGAGATTATACAGGAAGAGCGACTATGCTTTACTCTTGGCATTCATCACAGCCAAAAGTCTCCTCAACTTGCCCTTTCTTTTCCCAAACACACACACAGATCACATCCATCAGTGCTTAGCATCAAGCGAGAACATGAACCATTAGTGAGGATCAGTGAGAGAAACCACGGTCCTGCACAGACAGACACACAAAAAGTTGCTTCATTTTTATTGTGCAGTTGCAAATCCTTCTTGAAGTGCAGGGACAGACTTAGTCTTAAACATTTTAGGCGTATTATTTACCCTGAGATAAGAACAAACTCTGCTTTTGTTGCAGCACTGCAATGCTAGTGGGAGAGAGTCAAACTCGCCGCTGGATTCCCATCACCTTCTGATCAAGTCCTCGGCTGGATTTGTGCAAATGCCAAGCAGTTAAAACAGGAAAACCCTGACTGAGGGGATCATTTAATTTTTAGTACAAATGATAGAGAAAAAAATCATCCATCTTGTGTCAGATCCTCAGGTGAGGTTAATGGGAAAAAAATATCTTTTATGTATTTGTTCAATGTGTTTGAAGTGGAAGCAACTGTTGACAACAAATAGAGAATGCCACAATGGCATTTTTAGAGACACCTTTAAAATTGGACCTCAAAGCTCTGGCTCCTGCAGGTATTTTTGCAGGGCCAGTTTCACAGATCTCCACATTTTTCACTTCCACAGAAGTACTTGCATTCTGGAAGAAACAGAGCCAGGAGCAGTAACTAGACTTGACCTTAGAAGCCACCACAGTGCTTGGATCTACAAGCTACATTTTTCTCTTAAGAGCATAGAAGTATGACTCACTGAAGTGTATTATCTGTGCAGCATAAAATTTACATATGTCATCAACAACAATATTAATTGTCACCACTTCAGCTCTTCGATTTTTAAAAAGTATTCTCGGGATGTTTTCAGGAAAGGGCGCTCTTGGGTTTGGTATGTAGTGGGTGAGCATGTTTTATAGTTCCAGGAAGAGCCTGGCAATGCAGGAACCTTCATAAATACTCTTCAGAGTACAGAAGGTTCAAGCAGAGAAATATAATTTGAAAGTGAATTTATTTCCCTGAACTGGCATGAAGGGAAAATGTTACTGGTGAACTGCCATATCTACAATCCTCAGGTGAACATTACTGAAGGTTTTGTTTATTTTAAGTGTAGCAGGAACAGCTTTAATTTTCTTATAAAGATTCTACAGCACAAGGTAACATCTCCTTTGGGAAGCGAATGCAGAAAGGACTCAAAATGTTGGCATCTTTGCTGAGATGGGTTGAATGAGTCAGTGCTTTATAATGACACACATTAATATGCACGGCCACTTTGTTTCATCAATAAAAAGCCAAAGAACTTAAATGACTAAAGGCAGAAACAGCTTTTGTTATGCATACACATAAGTTTTAAATTGTCTAGTAGTTCTGCAGTCCTGGAAAAAGGCTACTTTTAAATAAAATTATGTGGAAAAAAATACATAAGTACATCGTGCACTTGAAGCAAAACCATATGCATACTTTATGCTGATCAAATGTTTTCTATTATAATCGACATCTTTCCCTGTCTGAGGGACATTTGCCCAGCACTTCACTGAATGGTACAGAGTGTAACGAAGAGCCAGGTAAGACATTTTCTGGTGCGTTGGGCATGAAAAGCAAGAACAGATCTGCAGAAACAACAATTTTTAAGACAGATTCTCAACTGACCTATATGAATTTACTGGAGTTGAGGATGAAGTCATCAGAGCCTTTGTTTTCAGGCATTTGGAATAAAAGGAGCAATGCCATTTTATGTTCACAAACAACCCAGATCTTACAGATACCCCTGTGGTTCTTACCTGTTGCTTGTACCCTAGAACCTTCAATTCAAATACAGTATGAAATACCTGTTTATCAGGGCATGTTGTTAGGACAAGTGATTTTAAATACCATCAATACTGCATTGAGCAAATAAAAATAGAACTGACTGATTTTTAGAAATCTCAAATGAGTCAGAAAACACTTACCTAGCTATGCTCTAGGAATGCTGGTACCACTTGTGCTGCAATCACAAGTGATTAATAACACACCTTTTTCACAGAATCATTAAGGTTGGAAAAGACCTTCAAGATCATCAAGTCCAACCGTTAACTCAACATCACCATGCCCACTAAACCATGTCCCAAAGCACCACATCCACACGTTTTTTTGAACACAAAAAACTCTCTCTTCTTACGCATGCAAACATTGCCTGGTATACTGTGGGGGGAACCACTAAAAAAAAAAAAAAATCACCATCTAATAACCTTTTTTACTTGAAAACATAATCTCACTGCTCGTATAAGAAGAAATGTTTGAAGGGCCCAGGTAAGCAAATCCCAAACCTCTCTATTCCAACCCCTAAATAGGGGTCCCATGTCCTATTCTAAGTAAAAAATGGTGGAAAAGAGTCTTGGCATCCTCTCCACCAAAAAAAGAGAATCAAACTAAATATCTTGCAGTTCGCTCCTTCCTTATAGAAGGAGCATCCTTCATGTGGTTTACCTTTCTAACTTATATAATGCACATCACTCATGCTTTGTAGAAGGTATCTTAGGGAAGTTTATAAACACCTGTGTCAGATGGATAACCCAGGCTTACTTTCAATTCATTCTGGAGACGTTTTATGAAAATCTGGAATTCAGATTTGGCTCCAACTGCAGTTATGTTACTTCAAAACTGAAGTTGTTATTTTTGGTTCTGCTCCTCAGAAGACTTCTGTAACCAACAACTGTGAGTCTATGTACTGAATGACATTGTTTATTCCTATATAACCTTGTTATCATTACAAAGTCATAATCACGGTGGGCAAGACCGACATGGACAGTCACAGTCAGTTCGGTACAAGAACCATACACTGCAAATTAGTGCTGTAAACTTGAAATGGACTCTGACTCAAGGAAAAGGGCGGTACATAAATGGGAACACTAGGGTCAGTGCTCATGAAGCCCTAGGCTCTGAAAAAGCAGCATGCCTTGGGACTTTGCTTTACAGATAGAATTGCAGTAGTCCAGCATGAGCACTAAAAATGCATTTATGTTTACAAACAGGTTTACACTGGCTACAGCCAGGAAAAAAACTTCTTGACCAGCTTTGGAAAATAACAAACTTCTTGCCAATCTCAGCAGATGTGACCATGACAGGCTAGGCTCTGCAAGTCTCCAAAGGTGGCAAGTGTCTATAAAACTCTTTTCAGAGCGTATTTAAGGTTCAAATTACACTAGCAATAAAAAAAACAAATAAGGAAGACGCTAAAGGTACCAAGAGGATAGGATTCCCATGCTTCAATAGGTACATCTCCTGCTGTCTATTCCCCATCTGAAGGCATGATGGAAGATCCCTATCAGCTCTGTAACTTCAGACTTTTCTTTTTTCTCACTATACAGAGGACTAATATTTTAGGTGGAAAATAATGGCAGGCACTATACAACTAACTGACTGAAAAGGTAATAGGTTAACATTTACAGTGGCGAGACTGGGATTCAGTTTTTTGTGGTTTATTTCCTCAGCTCCCCAAAATGATGTCATCTTTAGCAAGAAACTGAACTGAACTTCTCACTGATCACAGGGGAAAAGAACAGAAATTCCTAAGTTTTTTCCCCAGAATTTTCACATGGTTCTTCTCTCAGGTTTCCATGATCGAGCTGCAGTTTCCACCTCTGGAAATTTGTATTGGTACGTCACAAGTGACTCCTGACAAACCTCCATTACGTAGAAATACAGCCTCAGGCTCTAGGAGGCTATCCAACCCTACAGGAGCAGGGCTAAATAACAAAAACTCCTAGGAGAGCAAAAGATAAGAATGATCAAATGAAAGAGTCTAGGAGGCAAGCATGACAAGAGAAACCAGAAACAAGCAGACAAAAAAAGACAAAAGAATTAATAAGGATGAGATGAGATAGAAAGATTCTCTGCATTTGAGGAATACTGAAACAGTCAATTTTTGAAAGGAAGAGGGGGAAGAGATGTAGGTCACTTCTGCATTACTCATTTCATTCGCTTGTTAAACACGGACAACCCCACTTATTAATCTACTGAAACAATACAAGGATTAATTCCCCATCTGTGCAGCGCCTTCAAAGCCTCATACAAAAGCACCAGTGAAACTCAGTGTTGTGCTCAGAGTTTTTTGTAGTAACACGTATACAAAGATCACCGCTAGATTATAGATATTTGTATAGGTAGACCTTTAGTCAAAGTTACAGAGTTCCCACAAGGAAAAGCTTCGACCTTTTGGCTCCAACATGGCAAAAAGAACTGCTGCAACATCTAACATGCCTGCCTGCCCACATTAAAGAAAGTAGATGAGACCTCTATGCAAACTGAACTGACTGCAAATATCTCTTCTGCCCAAGATAGCAAGAACATGATCAAGATCAGAACAGGCACAGAAAATTAAGTGTATTTAACTGAAGCTGGTGGGGGTGAGGAGGGAGGAAGGATGACTTGCCAAGAGAAAAATGCAGATACAGCCAAGTTCTGCCCCTGGACATACCACTCACTCATTTCATGACATTGCACAAATCACTTCCTAACTTTTGGTCTCAGGACCTCCCGTGAAGAGGGGATGATATGCCTACTACTACTCTTGCAAAACCAGATGAATATCTACAAATTAATTCTGTGAGGAATGCATGTGACTTAAATACTCACTGCTGGAGCTTCCAGGAGTGCCGAACTGGGAAGTTTCAAGGAACTTTCGAGGTGTAGATAAGTTGGTAACATCCATAAGAGGTACAGGAGAGGCATCTTTCACAAGTGAACTGTGTGAGGGGCAAGAATTAAAGCCAAGAGTTTACTATTATTTACAATCCTAGTTCACAACAAATAATCCATTTATTTCTTAGATTTGTAAGTCTAAGCAATAGACATACATAGCACACAGTTTTGATACAAGAGGTTTACAAAATCTAACAAAGCAAAAGTCCACAGATGAGTGGGTGTCTACGTATACATACTTGAGTGAAAAGGGAAAAAGCCAAAAAAGCAATGATGAGCGAACACTGTCATATCAAAGTCAAAGTTTGGTATCCCAAGGCCTCTCTGCATTTAATAGCACTCTAAACTTGTCTGACTGGTCGCAGCAACATAAGCAGGGCACAGGCACATCAGAGCTTGCCATAGCACATGATTATTTCCCAACAGACACATGCACCTCCAGCACAATTAACTACTGCTAGCATGATGATAAATGAACATGGAATTGTTAAGAACTTTCCGGAGAACCACATATCGAGGAGAAGAGATGCTCCTATTTCCATGGCTTCTGTCAACTACTTAATCGTTCAAGCTTTTCTAGTTCCCACTAGAAACCTCCATTCTTGTTCGGTGCACACCTACATTCATCCCTCTCCAAATGAACCTTCTTACTCAGAAGGGAAACACTTTCTACTTGGTCATTTTTATAATAAATTCACATAGTATTATTTGCCAGAACTGTGTCATGCTGCCCCAGCTGCATAACAAAGGGCATGAAGCTGGATGTGGCAGGGGAATGCAAGCAAGAAATCATTTTTAAGAGAACGAAGTGGAGAAGACTCCTATAATGGAGTTCAGTATGTTCTCTTAGACGTTAAAATGCTTATAGAAACCTGCAAAGAGAAGGGCTAAGCTTATTATCTTGCATAAGAACCATGTATACTCCCTATACACCTACAATACCATACTTAAAGGGATTAGCTATGCATTGTTAGATAGAACACACTTACAACCAATACAGGAAATAATTATAAACATTATTGCATCCTGGTCAACAGCCAGCCTAGTGCAGCACACTAAAACAAAGCAACAAGGCTGTCCTTGATGCAAGAGTTCATGTTATCAAATATCAATGATGTGCAACAGGGAATGCAGAAAAAAATAGAAAACAAGGAAAAGATAAGGGTCCCTGTAGCAGTCATACAAAACTGCAGTTAATTAACAGTAACATAGTCTAGGTACACCAAAGCTTTGTGTCTGTTTTTAATTAACAAGATGAGTAAGGAAGGAGACTGATGACCCTTCTTCCTAGAAATTTCAACTTCAATCAATCCTTTATTTCATAAATTTATTTAATGCAACTTACAATCTCTCCTCTTGTTTTTGGTAAACATTTTTTATTCCTTCCCATAATAAAACACTCATTTATCTTTTCTCTGCACCTTTATCATATGCTGGCTCCCCTTTTGCTCCCTGACCCTGTTTATTACCTCTCCTACTCTACAGAAGTTATATGCCAACACTGTGCCTCTCTTCTCTAGCCACTATCTTCCTTCCCTCTCAACAACTCCATTGCGCTCAAACTTAGAATCTGCAAATTTCAGAAAAATTAGCCAGGCACCTATACTTAAGCTAAGTTTACACTAATCAGAGGCACCAACCAGGTAAGACATTTCAACATCTTTAAAACACAACACAGCCTCGACACTGCTCAGGCACTTCAATATCGCAGCCTCCAGCTAGTAACCCTATGGTTAGCTGGAAGTCTTTTAAACCTTGGACATTTTCTAGAAAAGATGAGCCATTTCTTCCCTGTGTTCTTCCCTTTGCCTGACCTGAGTCTCATGACCATGACATTTGTAGGAGAGGTATATGTATCAGAGAAGAAAGAGAATGCTATGAGGAACTGACCTCATCATAATTCTGTGGGAAGCAGCAAAAAAACAATAGAATCACTAAACAAAAGTGAAAGAACGAGAACAGACTGTTCACAGGCTCAAAGGTACATCAGCATACTTGGAATTTTTCTGCTCTCCACAGCCGTAAGCATGAGAAATTCACTTGCTGAAAATGAAAGGTTGAGGTGTAAGTCGATGGCACTCTCCCAAGAAAGTTTCTACTTATGCAAGGGAGAATGCTGTCCTCTTCCCTCCCAGACCTCCTACCCTCAGTGAGCATCACACCAAACTCACCTTATTCTCCCTTTCTCCTTGTTGCGTTGTCCTACTCTGTTAGTAGATTTGATGTACAGATGACGGTGTAATTCATCTATCAGAACTAAGTGCATGTTCATCTTCTTACTGTGGAGCTCCAGTCTCAGATCACTCAATCCCTCCACCTGAAGAAGGGGACCCTCCAAGGAGTCCACCGCTGACACCTGTAAGGAGAACACATGTGACAACTTTTAAAGGTCAATTCATTCATCTCTCAGGACTTTTCTCTTTCATTAGGGGAGTGTCTAAATATCATGATCATTCTATCCATAATCCCTTTTAAAGAAGAAGTTTAAGTAGCATTCATTTCTATTCCTACAAGGAAATTCAACACATAAAAAAAAGAGTCCAATATCCAAACAACTCAGATTTAATGAGCAGTCTTCAAATATTTTGAGCATATGTATAAAACAAGTTAGTTAAAACACAGTGGGTTAAATAAAAAAATCAAAGCACAGTTTATCACAAGATAAGAGCTTTATCAAGTAGAAAAGTGTTAGAAAAAGATAAGGATAATGATGCTTGATTGTCTTTATTCTTTTCATTACACCAACAAAACATTATTCACAATTCTATAAATGGGAAGAAAATGGCTTAAATTTTATTTGCCTGAAGTGATGTAATGACATAGCTAAAAAAGCTTAGGAGGCTTCACCTTCTAGCCTACACAGCTGCTATGTCATACAACTACACAATTTAAATTAACACGGCCATCAGATTCACGAAAGCTACTGCTAGTTCAAAGGCAATTTTGAACTCCAGTGTAGGGTTTTTTTAATGTTCAATTATTAAGGCTCAAATTTAGGAAAATAACTTTATACAAGCAACAGAGTAACAGACAGGGATGTAGACATGCAGTAACGTACACAGGCCATAGGTAACATTTCTCTTCTGATGCCCTTCAATAGTGATGAGCTGATGTCCAGTGGGCACAAAAATTATAAAAAATAAAATAAAATAATGGCATTCCTCTGCATTTTCCAAAATCTCAGTGCTGTTATAAGAAACTAGAACTAGCATAGCATGTTTTGCATAGAGAGAAAACTGGGGTGGGCAAAATCATTCCCTAATAACTGAAGATACTATTAGCGAAATAAGACGTTTGCCTGCACTTCAGGATTTAAGTTTACAGCAAATCTGTCAGCTAGACATTAAAAATTAAACACAGAGAGATACAGTAAGCAAACAGCCAATCTAAGGTCTGGTCCCTTAATACCAGTAAGTATTAAATATACCGAAAGAACATCTATCAACAATGTATTACTTCGCTTACCTCCAAGTCAAGAATGACCCTGAAATAGCTTTGGGACGGTCAGGCTTTTTAATTTGGGAGCAGTTTCTACAACGAAGCTGCACTTTTCCCTTCCTCATGAAAAATTTTGCCAAGAAGTCCCTAACGATGAAGTTTTTTTCTCTGCATGGATGATGTGAGCATGCACTTGCTGCCAGTCCTTAGGATAGGGCTCACTCTTGAGAAAGAATTTGTGTCACAGTATTAATCATGGAGGACTGAACAGGCTCCTCCTAAGCCCAACTCTGCAACTTCAACAGCATTTACGGTGTTCCTCTCACTTGACACAAAGCACTGTCTACCCTCTTTCTTCCCAGTATCTAATTGTGAACAGTTATGGAAGTTTGGCCATAACACATGACGAAACTATACCATAGATGAAGCAAAAAACCAAAGTTGCTTCTCCCAAAAAAGCTGACATGTCAGAGTACACACAAATAGAGAAGGCTCAGCAGGCATGCAGACACAGCTTGGAAACCTTTGGCAGCAGTGCAAATGCTAATTTTTATCTGCTTCCTTTGGCAGGTAGAGATGTACCCCAAACTTCCCAATTCCAAAGGCGCTTTAAACCCCCCGCCAGTCACTTTAGGAGAATTGCAGGCATTCATCACTGCCCTGAAAGCTGTCAGCAATTTCACCAAAGCAAGAACAAGATCAGGAACATTTGTCAATCTGAGAAGCTGTGAGATGAAAACGTAGTGAGGGAAGAACTGAAAGCAAGCAGGAAAATGACATTAGAAAGGTTCCAACACATCCAGGAAAAGTATTCCCTAAAACACAAGCACCAAAAATTTAAAGCTTTCCGCTCAGCTCATTTGGCTCTATTTTCATCTTCCCAGTTCCTAAAAAAATTAGTTATTCTCAAAACCAATTATTAAAACCAACATATGGCTCTCAAACACATCTTTTGAGAAACAAAAGGAACAGTCAATTTTTTATTGTACTTTAAAACCAAAACCCAAAACAAAACCAAACACTCCATATTGTTATGCACTGAACTTTCTTCTTCTGGAAAAAAATGCCTTTTTTTTTTTTTTGGTGGGGTTTATAGAGTGGGGTTCTTTATAGCCTTTCCGACACTTCATATTTGCAGTCAGACAAGCTGGAAGTTATGTCCTTGATAAATGCCACTTCCCCGGTGATTGAACTCTACAGGTAAATAACACAGCAAGTTTCAACATTATGCACACTTGGAGCCTTTTAACGTAAGGCAGCCCCACTCCAGTAAAGCCTCACTTAACCACTGCTTTCTTTTCCAATATTTCATTTCCCATTTCCATGAATCACCAAGACACAGCGCACGAGAAAAGCTTTACTATTCACAACAGTTTGGGTCTGGAAAATAGCTGGAGGCTCAATCCAAGTTCATGGAAGTCACGGTAAGGTCTCCAATTGGTTTAGGTGGCAACTGTATAAACATTATGTAAAAAAAAAAAGAGAAACCAAACATTTTTTTCCCTTCTGCAGTTTTAGGCACAGAAAGATGATTTAAGTCTGGGCAACAAGCAAACTATAAAGCAGCACCCCAAATTATGTTTCAGAAAGCAAAATAATAAGATCAGCACATTTGTCTAATTTGTGTGCTGGATAACCCACCACAGAATAGTAGCACAAGCAACTGAAACGATGCAAAGAGGTCTACAAGGAACACACAAAATTAAAAATACACTATAGCTAGATCTAACAATGGAACTGCTAAGAGAAAAAAAAATAGATAAGCTTGTGTTTCACTCTACTATGCTGGGGAAGATCAATTCTTAAAACTCATTTTCAGGAAATAAGTACACTGTCATCCCAAAGGCTTTGTTTTCCAGAAGCAGGGAGATTACAAGCAGGACGGAATAGAAAGGGAAACAGAAAGTGAATAGGAAGAGCAGTAATAATGACAACAGCTCTGCTGACCACTTGGAAACAGAAGCAGTAGTAGTTTACAACTGGCTTTATTTAAAGTCCAAGTATCCATCTGGGCCACGTTAAAAAGATGGTCAACCATCTTGAGAAACAGTAAGGTGACAAAGAGACTTGAAAAATCAGCATGGTGGGTCAGCCAAGAGCACAGCCAATGCCACGTGCAGCCAAGAAAAATAAGGTGAGCACTGAGAGCAAACCTAGAAAGAAATAAAACTTACAAAATTGAATTCATAGAAGGGACTCTGTCTATCATTGGCAAAGTTTAGATCAAGATGAGAATTTTATGCCCCCGCTCCGCTAATAACACACCATGCTTATATTATGCATAAGCCCCAAATGTATGATAAAAATACTTTCAACTTTGAAGATCATAGAGGTTTATTTACTGTTGTGTCATCAACTCATCACTCAACTTGGGCTCATTTCAACTAGTTGTTCTTAACCTTCTCTCATTTCAAACCCTGATATGCAAAAGGAGACAGATGAGCGGGAGACAGGCTGCACAAAGCAGTAACAGGTCAGAGCACAACATAAATACTGTTCTGCAGAAAAAGTATTGCTATTCCTCAAGGTCATAGTGATTCCTCCCGTTAGAGAACCGTAATTCAGGAGAAAAACCCTTATTTTTGGATTTCTGTTTTTTATTGTGGATGCTGCTCCCCTGCTTACAGTATAAAGAACAAGTCAAGAAAAAGGTGCATTCTAAGTGTTGGAGGTTGAACATATTTATATTGCTAGCACCATCACTAAACATAAAAAGATTTTCACATTTTAAAAGGCAACTGTCTGCCTCCCTCTTGAATACTAAGTTTGGAAAAAAAAGGAGGGGGGGAGATTTTACATTTAAATTGTATCTATTATTTTTCCACTCATTTATTACAGAGTTATGTGGAGTCCTCAGACAGACAGAAGCCCTTCACTTCTAATTATTCGTATCACTTACTAGGATTTTAATTTATTACTTTGAGCAATTAAGAACTGAAAAACCTTACAAGCTACAACAATTCCATATCAGTTTTAGTATTTCCAGTACACTATAGCAAGTTTTGGATTTTTTCAGTTCACCAGCAGTGTTTTGAATGCTCACTTCAAAAAAAAAAAAAAGCAGTGCTGGGAAATTAAGCAACTCTACATTTAGAGAAGTTGTATAAATCACCTGCTTGTCCACTGCTAGAAGAACCCAGCTTCTCTGGTTGCTATCTTCTATCACATTCATCTCTGCTTTACAGAGCTTGTACATCAAACTTAAAAGGCATTTCAGCCATCTTCTATGGCACCCGTTATTAACGATAGCAGTGAGGCCAAAGGCAATCCACACCTACCAAAGGGTGATCTCAAATTCGCAACTCCACAATCCCCACACGCTAGGGTAAGAAGTAATTGTGGCAGCTCAGAAGCACACTGTGGTCACAGAGTAAACACTGACGTGTAACAGCAGACTTCAATGTCTTCTGCCAGAGCAAGTCAAAGAGTTCTGGAAGTCAGGAATCAGGATTCATAGAGTTGCTAGAATGATACACTGATCCAGCTTGGAAGGGTCATCCAGAGGTTTCCAGTCCAGTCACCTGCTCAAAGAAGGGCTGACTTCAACGCTAAATCAGGCTGCTCAAGGCCTCCAGTCAAGGATCGAATACCTGCAAGCATGAAGATGCGCAATCTCTCTGCTCTCTTACTGCTGGCGTTGAACCCCTCTCATGGGGAAGAATTTTGTCCTCGCACCCAGCCAGTTTTTCTCCCACAGATATTGGTGATGGGTGCCTCTCATTCGTTCACTGTGCACTTCTGTGAGGAGCCTGGCTCTGTTTTTCCACTATCTCTTTTAGATGCTCACAGACAGCAAAACCCCACTCTCTTCTGCAGGCTGAACAAACTCAATTACTGCAGCATCTTCATATACCTTGCGTGCTCCTAATCCCCAGCCACCCGGGGGGCTCTCCACTGGACTTGCCGCTATGTGCTACC